GAGACAAGAAGGCTCTGGCCTATGTCCCAGCAAGGAAAGGATCAAGACATCAGTCTGAAGTTTAGTTCTGAAAACTTGACACACCATTTCAGCTCTATGAGTATTATTGCTTGTCTTTTACCCACGAGGACAACAATCTAGTGTCTATATAGTGCATACTCTGTTCTGTGAAGGCACTTACCTACAACAAAACTATGTGTCTAAAGAGCCTTTGCGGTTCAGTGTTAAGCACTTGACTGCTAATGCAAAGGTCAGTGTTTCAAACCCACCAGCCATTCCTTGAGAGAAAAATGAGACCGTCAGCTTCTGAAAGGTTTACAGTCTTGGAAACCCAATGGGGATAGTTCTACTCTGACCTATAGGGTCACTATGGGTCAGAATGGACTCCATGCATGGCAATGGGTTTGGGTTTCCTGTGTTCCTGCCACTCTGCTAGATGCTGGGGAAGATTGAGAAAAGATTACCACCCACCCCTTGCTCTCACAAGCAGGGTGTGGGAGATAGGATTAACAATGAGAGGACAACGGAAGGCAGTATGTGATTAAGAATAAAATGAGTAGTGCAGGCAATGAATGCTATAGAAGTTGGGAGGAGGGAGAGAGCTTTGGGAGCTGGGAGGCTTATGGAGAGTGGGATTTTTTAACGTGGGCTTTGAAGGATGGGTAAGATTGCAGATTTAGGGGAGGGCACTGAATTTGAGTGTGTATAAGTGAGCAGAGGCACAGATTTGGGTAACAATAAGAGCTAGCACTTTCTATGCATCGGATAGAAAGGTTTTATATGATTTAACTTATTGAATCTGCATGATAACTGGGGGTGGGGGGCGCTTCAAAAAGTCCATGGAAGAATGGAATGAAAAGATAATGGAATTTTTCCATGAATTTTTTGAAGCTCCCTGGTATGGATTAGTTAATTGACTTCTGGTACAGAGTAGAATTGCATTCTCAAAGGTTTTCAAGGCTGTGACCTTTCCGAAGCAGTTGGCCAGATCTGTCTTCTGATGCATCTTTGGTTGAGTTCACACCAACAGCCTTTCAGCCTAACTGTTTGTCCCACTCAGGGGCTCCTGGATTAGTTAACACCATACCAAACCCACTGCCATCGAGTCGATTCCAAATCACAGTGACCACATATGGGATTTCTGAAAGTAAATCTTTCCAGGAGCACTGACCTTGCAGTTAGCAGTCCAATGCTGATCCTACAGTGCCACCAGGGCTCCTTAGATTAGAGAATAAAACCAAACCCACTGCCATCAAGTTGACTGACTCAGAGCGACCCTGGATAGTGTTTCTGAGCCATAAATCCTTATGGGAGCAAGCAGAAAGCCTCATCTTTATCTCTCAGAGCGGCTGCTGGATTTGAACTACTGACCTTGCGGTTATCTATCCAGTGCTTATCCTATAGTGCCACCAGGTTTCCTAGATTAGATAATAGTACCCTTTGGTAGCATAGTGGTTACGAATCGGGCTGCGAACCACAAGGTCAGCGGTTCGAAACTACCAGCCGCTCCGCGGGAGAAAGATGAGGCTTTCTGCTCCCGTAAAGATTTACAGCCTCGGAAACCCTGTACAGGGTCGCTATGGGTCGGAACCGACTCGACGGCACTTAACAACAACAACATAACAACTTTATATATATATATATGTTGTTGTTAACTGCCGTGGAGTCGGTTTCGACTCATAGCGACCCTGTACAGGGTTTCCGAGGCTGTAAATCTTTACGGGAGCAGAAAGCCTCATCTTTCTCCCGCGGAACGGCTGGTAGTTTCGAACTGCTGATCTTGTGGTTCACAGCCCGATTAGTAACCACTATGCTACCAGAGCTCCTTTACTTTATATATAAGGCATTTAAAGTACAGAGAGGCTGAGTAATTGACCAAGGTCACATAGCAAGTAACTGATGTAAATAGGATTGCTGTTCTAGTGATGAGAGGAATCTGTGGTTCTGTGAGGATGCTGTTGGCTATCGTCATTGTTGTGTTGTGAAGTGCCGTCGAGTCAATTCCGACCCATAGCGACCCTGTATAGGGTTTCCAAGGAGTAGCTGGTGAGCTTGAACCGCCAACCTTGCAGTTCAAACGGCGTTGCAGTCTGGTGCATTAACCCATAGCACCACACCAGGACTCTAAAGACTACTATTTTGCAAACACAGGACATAGCAAAACCCACTGCCGCTGAATGGATTCCAACTACTACTGCTCCCCTACTGCTCCATAGGGGCTTCAAGGCTATAAATATTTACATAAGCAGATTGCCTCATTTTTCTCCAGGTTCGAACTGTCAACCTTTCTATAATTGCCCAATCAATGCTTAACCCATCAGGGCAACAGGCTACACAACAGGGCTAGGTCAAATTTCTAACTCAAGTTCAGCATGGAAAATGGAAGGATTAATGAAGTCTTTTACAATGTGCTACAAATGGTGCTGTAGGATCAGCACTGGACTGCAAACCACAAGACTGGAGTTCAAACACACCAGCTGCTCCTTGGAAAATCTTATACAGGGTTGTTGTAAGTCAGAACCAACTCGACGGCACTTACAATAATAATAACCTTATTCCTGTTTCCTTGAAGATAGAAACTGGAGGTCTCTAGAGCATTTGCTATTGCCAGAAGTGCCACAGTTTTGTTGCTATTGTTCCTTGGTTATGTTGTTGCAGGTTTAACAAAACACAGAAAGGAGAACGAATGAGTGAGCCTCTGAATTAATTATTGGTTGTTGTTCTTTCTTTACTACGCTACCAGAGCTCCAGAGCCCATGGTAGATTCCTATAAAGTTTAGAATTAGACAAGAAAATCCTGGTGTAGCATTGTAGGCCTAGCCACCGACTGCTAACCTAAAGGTTGGCAGTCCAAACTCAACAACCACTTCTTGGAAACCCTATACAGGGTCGCTATGAGTTAGAACCAACTTCACGACACTTAACAACATCTTTCTTTGAGGCTAGTGGTTACGAATCGGGCTGCAAACCTTAAGGTCAGCAGTTCGAAACTACTAGCGGCTCCGCGAGAGAAAGATGAGGCTTTCTGCTGCCGTAAAGATTTACAGCCTCAGAAACCCTGTACAGGGTCGCTATGGGTTGGAACTGACTCGACGGCACTTAACAACAACAACAACAACAATTTCTGTCAAGAAAACCAGACTTGGAAAGGATGGGAGAAGAATGGTTTGATAATAGCTAACCCACTGCCATCTAGTTGATTCCGACTCATAGCAACCCTTCTCCCGTGGAGTGGCTGGTGGGTTTGAACTACTGGCCTTGTAGTTAGTTGTTGTTGAGTGCTGTCTAGTCGGCTATGACTCATAATGACCCTATATAAGGTTTCTGAGAAACGGCTAGTGGGTTTGAACCATCGACCTTATAGTTAACAGTCCAGTGCTTATTCTACATCACCACACCAGGACTTCTGGGCTTATACACTAGATTGTATTTTGTGTTTTGAGCCTGGCTTGTAGCCAACACCCAAAAGTGTTTCCTAGGCAAGATGCCTAACTGCTTTTCTGGATATTTAATTTGGAGTCTTCAATCCAAATTAAATCAATGAGGTAGATTCTGAGATCTGTCCTGTTTCCTTGTCCCCCAAACAGTTTATGGGTGGAAAGCAGCAGGAAAGAGGGAGCCATGTTTCAATCAGCCACCCTTGGGCTCTGACAGATCCCTGTGCGTGGACACACACACACACAGACACACACAGACACACACACACACACACACACAGGGGCCCTGCTAACTTTTCAGTGAAGGCTCTGAGCCACATGCAGGGAAGAAGTCAGTGGGAAGCTTCATTTCTTCAGACTAGGCTTGGACTGAAGGTGTGGTAGGAGAGGAGCGTCTGGAATGGGTTGTGTGGCCAGAGGTGAAGGGAGCAACTAGGGGAGTAGAGAGGAAAAAGGCAGCCAGTCCGACCTATGCATTTAAGTGGGGCTGTGGCTAGTGACAAGAGTCTGCTGTTTAATGGCAGAAACAAGGAAGCGCGAACAGCAGAAAGCCATACCCAGGAAACCCCAAAGAAAAGCTTGCCCAGCTGCTCTTTCTCACTAGGTAGGTTTACTCAGTCCACAAGAACTTAGAGAGGGTCGGCTAAGTGCGCCCCGGATACTAACAAGTGCCTTGGAGAATCCGGCCACAGAGCACGGAGTCAGAGCAAAAGGCTTCCCCAAGGAGGCGAGTTCTCTGTACTCAGTGGGGAAAGGGGGTGCACGCGTGCAGGCTCCAAGAGTGCAGAATACGAGGCAGGCCAGGGAGGAGGAGGAAGGAGGCGGAGATTGAGCAAGGAGGGGGGAGGAAGAGGGAGAGCGGACTCGCGGGTGGGAGGTGTGAATGGTGCAGCGGAGGGGGCCCACAGGGAGTCCGGGAAGGGAAGGAGGCGAGGCCGGGTAGTGGAGGCCCGCGGGAGGGGGGCCGGGGGCGAGAGGCCACGCTGTACTTGTGAGGAAGGAGGTGGAGGCGGCCAGAGGGAGGAGAGAGGGAGGGGAAGAAGGAGGAAACGAGCGCGGCTGCCACTGGGGAAGGAAGACCGGGAGGAGGAGCCCTGCGCGGTGGCAGCGGCGGTGGTGGCTGCCGCTGGGAGAATCCAGCGCCTGAGCGCGGGCAGCGCGGGAGGCGAGTGGCCGCCCTAGCCCGGGTCGCGGGACCGAGCTGCCGGTGAGTGAAGCTCCGCGGGCCGCGGCGGTCAGTCCCCGGGGCAGGGCGGGAGGCGTTGGCAAACTGCGGCGCCTGGGCGGAGGGCGGGGGCAGGCTGAAACCCAGCCCCTGGCTGGCCCGGCCTCCCCCAACCCTCGCTCCGGCTTCCTCCCGCCAGGGCCGCCTGCGCTTGAAGGGCAGGTCCGGGGCGGGCGGGCCGCGCGGAGGTGCTGCCCGGGAGGGCGGGCGGGCGGGCGTAGGGGCCTGAGGGGTGGAGCTGGGGGCTGGAGGTGGGCCCGGGCTCTGGAGGCTGGACCGGGACGGCTCTAAATTGGCTGGAGGGGCCCGTTGGCGGTGAAGTTGCTAGCTGGGGGCCAAGACAGCCACGCGGTTGCTGGAGTAAGAGATCCCCCTGTAGCGAGTGCGTGAGAGGAGGAGTCCGGCGTCCCTGCCTCCCTGTCGTCCTCCCTGCTTGTCCAGTCCCGCTCGCTCCTCTCCTGGCTTCCGCGCGTCTCCTCGTTCTCACCCGTCTTTGCCCCTCTGTTTGCTCCCGCGGCACTGCCGGGTCCCCTCGGTCCCCCACCCTGACCCTCCCGGCCTCCAGCTGGCCCTGGCCCCTGCTTGCCTCGCCACTACCCCTGGTTCCCCTTTTTTACCCTCGATAGTTACCCTTCCCCGCTTCGTAATTCCCGATGCAATTGCCTCTTTGAGACCTATTTTTTTTCCTCTCCTTCCTTTTAGATTGGCCAACGGCTCCTTTCAACCCTGCCTCGTTGGTGGCCACTGGAGAAGCGCGGGGGGCTCCCCAGACAGCCGTGGGGACAAGTTAGAGCCAGCACTTTACCCCAGGCCTCGCGTGTAGTGTCTGTCCCCTCTTCTTCTCTAGGTGCCCTGGTGTCTGGAGGGGAGTTTGGGGGTGTGCCCTCCTTACATGTCCCACGCCCTGGGCAACCCTCAGGGCTTGTGTTCCATCTCATTTTTGCTTCCTGCACGGTGGTCAAGGGGAACCACTTTGCATCATGTCCCGGTATAGCTACCAAAGTCTCCTGGACTGGCTGTATGGGGGCGTGGACCCCAGCTTTGCAGGCAATGGGGGCCCCGACTGTGCTGCCTTCCTCTCTTGGCAGCAGCGGCTGCTGGAAAGTGTGGTGGTCCTGACCCTGGCCCTGTTGGAGATCCTGGTGGCCCTACGGCACATCCTGAGGCAGACGAAGGAGGACAGTAGGGGTGGCCATGGCAGCCAGCCAGAGCAGGTGACGCAGCCGCCAGAGGAAGGCAAGGAGAGCCTGAGCAAGAATCTGCTCTTAGTAGCCCTGTGCCTGACCTTCGGGGTGGAGGTGGGCTTTAAGTTCGCCACCAAGACCGTCATCTACCTGCTCAACCCCTGTCACCTGGTCACCATGATGCATGTGAGTCTGTTGACTTTTTCCTGGGCAACCTAAGTCGAGTCATTTGCGTGCTCCGGACACTGCGCAGTGTAGACCACCTCACCCCTCTGGGAAGTGGGACCCTTAAAAAAGATTGTCCAATGAGTGACTGCCATTGTGCTGATTGAGTGGATTTTCTTTCCCCTTTTGCACAATGTGTCAGCCCCCACTGCGGAGGTGAGGAACATCCTGCTGAACCCTAGGAATGACTGGCACTCTGGCCAGCTGCCCCTCCCTTCCCAGCCTGCCCAAGATGGCCCTTCATTAGCAGGGAGTTCACCCCCCCCCCCAGTTGTTCTTTCTGAATCCCATCTGTGGAAAGTGACCCAACCCCCTTGCCCTTCCCAGGAGTCTGGTGACACTCTTGTCTGGAGGTGGTCACATCAGTGTCCTGTGGTACTTTGGGGAAATACTTGTATGGACTTCTCAGAGTAAGAGCTTCCTTTGAATTCTGAGGTGTTGAAGCAGCACCAGCTTCTTATTAAGTGCACTCTTAAACAGGCTGACTTAATAAGTTTGGACCGGTGATCTCTGTCTATGGTGATTGGATGCTTATTTGTTTTGAAAACCTCTCCATCTTTTCACTATCATTCCATCTCCTGTGGTCATGGTCCAAGGGTGTTCAGTGAGCTAGCTGATGGCTTTATCTCCCCAACTTCCACCTGTGTAGTGGTGCTAAGAAAGACAAATGTAATTGAAAAGGCAAGTTGGCAGATACATACAAATCATCTGGGTGAGGACCAAGAGTGAGGCTATCTGTCCTCAGCTTGTGTGGAGAGATAACCTAAAGTTCTGTAGCGTAGTCGTTGTGAGTCGGGCTACTAACTGCAAGGTCAGCGGTTAGAAATTACCACCGGTGCCGCGGGAGAAAATGAGGCTTTCTGCTCCGTAAAGATTTACAGCCTCAGAAATTCTATACAGGGTTGCTAATGGGTTGGAACCGACTCAACCACTCAACAACAACAACACCAACAGTATAATCAGGCAGGAGGAAGTGAAGAAGGGGAAGAGCATGTCTTTTTTTTATTGAGGCTGGTGGATAAACCTGTTGTGTTTTAACCAGCAGCAATGTTGAAACTTATCAGTGGCATCTTTGTTGTTTTCGTATTTGTAGAAAGTAAGTTGTTCTCAAGAGACTTGCGACAGCCTTCTGTGGAGCAGGAAGTTCAGATTATGATCCCTGTCCATTTTATAGGCCTGGTAGGGTCCAGGCATAGAAGGTCACTTGCCTGCAGCCAAATGATGAATTAGCATCTAGCTGGAAAGCAAACTCACCCTCTTAGGGACTGCAAGCTACCACTGGAGTGGCAAGGCCATGTCCTGGGGAGGCAGAAGCAATGGTGCTCTGTACTTATGGCTCAGATACTTGCTAGTTGTGCGTTCCTGGGAACTCATTGGATTGTCGTTTCTTGTCCTCAGACCCCTTCCGTATTGCAGATGTGGCCAGGAGGTGTGGATGGCTTGGGAATAAAGGAACTGTTATTGATGGGGTGTTTGTAAGCATTAAGCAGGATGGAGTGGGCAGGATTTTTTTTTTTTTTTTAAGAGAGGGCTTCTTGGGAAGCGATGCCATTCACAGGAAGCCCAGGGTTCTCCTAGCTAGATCTTCTGTATAAATTTGAGCCAGTCCTCTTTCTTTCTTTTTCATGAATGGGCTTTTTGTTAATGAGAGGAAACAACACATCTCAGCCGCTGCTGTGTGAGGCTTTCTGGACAGGAGTGCTTTTTTTGGATGGCAGGTGGTGAGGGTCAGAGGGTGCCTCTTCTACAAAGGGGTCTTGAGGCCTCTGGCAACCATATATCTAGAAGGTCAACAAAGGACTAAATTCAGCTTGTCTGGTGCTGCTGCAATGATGTCAAACCTGGCAGCACCATGGTTTTTAGAGGAAAGGGTTTGAGTCTTTAAAGGGCGCAGGACATCTCGTGCTGCACAGCCGTGTGACTTTGGGGGAGAGTCCCCTTCCTGGGCCTCAGTTTGCCCATTTGGAAAATGCATCAGAGTTGTACTCCAAACTCGCGACAGTTTATGTTCTGTGATTCTTTTTTCTCTAAGCAGTGGACGTAGATGCCACAGAGAGCGATTCTGAAATGTTTTTGGCCCCTTTGGGAAAAGGAAGCTGGGTTCGTTTCTGAGGTTAATCTCTGTTAACTTTTGTTCTCTGTATCTTCTCAGTGAAGTAAACCGACCAGGGGAACACATGCAGATGATGATGACACTCTGGCTGAAGAGAGATGGACTTTTTTTGGAGGGCAGGGAGTGGTGGGGGTGGGTACTGTGGGCTGATTTCTGTCACCTGTGCTTTTTCAACTGTCTCATGCTTAGCTTAAACTGAAGCTATGGTCTCAGAGCAGAGAGCAGCATCTTGCTGATGAATTTTTAAACTCAACTAGGCTTATACTCCTTTGCCCTTTACTCTCAAGTCACTTTATAGTATTTAAATAGTAACCCCTGGTCTGCTGGGGGACCTAGCCTTTGATGAATCCAACTTTCCATGCTTTCTGAGGGCAGCAGGAATATATGGAGTTTTAAAAGTTGATGTGAGTCCTAGACAGAAATACAAGGGAGCTTCAAGAAGTTCGTGGAAAAGTTGAATGCAAAGATAATGGCATTTCCCCACCAACTTTTTGCAGTCCAATAGAAGAAGGTTAGAAGTAATTCTCGGACTTGGTAGCAGCAATGACTAACGATAGTATGTATGGTGAGTAATATCTTATGTTTATTTAGCCCTTCACTGTTTCTAAGGCCCTTTCACATGTATTGCCTTATTTAGGGTTGTGATAGATGAGCTTGGACCTAAAAAAGAGATGTTGAAAAGCTTCTGGAACAGTGTTTAGCCCTATTATGTTGCTCAGTGCTGTCCGTTGGTTCCGAGTCAGCAACCCTGTATAGGCTTTCCAAGGCTGTCAGTCTTTACAGGAGCTGAATGCCTCATTTTTTTCCCATGGAGTGACTGGTGGATTTGAACTGCTGACCTTGTGGTTAGCTGTCCAGTGCTTATTTTACAGTACCACCAGCACGCCTGTGTGTATTCCTAACTTTCCTGAGCAGAAAGAAAGGAGCAAGTGAATGAGTTGAATGGCAGTACATTCTGTGGGGTTCTGAGCTCCTGAAGCAAAGGGAATAACTTAGTAGGAACATTTCTGATATGAGCCTCTCAACCTGCCGACTCAATTTTGGCCTCATAGGGAGGCCCTCTTCTTCATAGAGTCCAAATCAATTTGGAACAAGGTTAGGAAGTAGAGAAACTGGAGGAAAATCTGTTTGTCTCCCCAGCTCCCATTTTTCAGTCTGCCAAATATTCCCAAGACCTTGTTACCAGATGAGGTACCCTGGTGGCACAGTGGTTAAGTGCTTGGCTGCTAACCATTGGTTCGAACCCGGCAGGTGCTCCGCTGGAGAAATCTGTGGCAGGACAGTCTGCTTCTGTAAAGATTTATAGCCTTGGAAACCCTCTGGGGCAGTTCTACTCTGTCCTCTCCTGTTGCTATGTGTTGGAATCAACTCGACATCAGTCTCACCAGACTGTTGGTGTGGCCATGCTACTTTTTGGTGACTGATAACTTTTGTAGCCTATGAAAGGGCAGAACTATGTCTGAGTTCTATTTTTTTTTTTGTTTTTAAGTTTTTATTGTGAATCAAGTGATAGTTTACATGGGAGAACATTAGTTTTACATTCATCCTATTGTATTCCATTTCATTGCAATGATTACAATCCCCTCCATGCATCATCAAACAACCAAAGGGTTGTTTGATGATGCAAGCCTGCTCCTCAGTTATCAGCACACAGGCCCTCTCCCTCCCTGAATCCAGACTCCCCAGCTGCTCCATCTCTCCATGTCATCGGCATCGTCTCTGCCTCCATCTCTGGGGTCACTTCTTCTCTAGATAGGGTCCTGCACTTTGCTTTTCTCCCTTGATGGTCCCAGGGACCTCTGCTCCTGGACTGCAAAATCAACCCCTCCTCTCCTTTTGCTACAAAACGTCTACCTTGACATTTTCAACACTCACAGTCAGCCCTGATGGCAATTATTCACTATTGAACCACAGGAGTCTTTTCCTCATCTCTTTTCATCAGCCCTGTCCAGACTGGTTGGAAACCACTCAGTGGAGATTCTACTTTCCCTGCACCCTCTGGAACTAAGCTCCCTTTTGAAACCTAAGTTCTATTCTTGATTAATATTTCTGCTGTTCGGTTTCTTTTTTGGTCTCGTCTGATTTCTCAAAGGCCCTGGGATTGTAAAATGACACAGGCTTACATGACTGAAGCAGCAGCCTCTTGCATCTAAGCTCCAGCCAGAGTTGTTTGTGAATCCTCAGGATTAATAAACCCCTTGCTAAATATTGCTAATGTTGACCAATTACACCAATAAGTATTTCCTCAAGCCTGCGTAGTCGTCCTCTTTTGCATATTATTTTGGTAGGTATGGGTGACAGGGGATGAAATTACTGAGTGACTTTGTTGTCTAGCCTGCAAGTTAGTGGCAGAGGTTATTTTAAAACTCATCTGCCATATTGAGAATTGAGGCTTTAAGCAGGAAGAGATTCTCATAGATATGTAAGTCCTAGAAATCTACACTTTATCAGAATGAGGATTAAAATGACAGACAATGTAAGTGAATGTATCTGTAAAGACTGGTGGTTTTGACTTCTTGTGTGCCACTGAGTTGATTCCAGCTCATCACTGCTTTAGATGACAGAGTAGAACTGCCCATAGGGTTTTCCAGGCTGTAAATTTTAAGGGAGCAGATCGCCAATATTTTTTCCCCACAGAGCGGTTTAAACTGGCAACTATTTGGTTCGCAACTGAGCGCTTAACCATTGAGCCACCAGGGCTCCTTGGTCTTAACCCTTACTGCCATCGAGCCAATTCTGACTTATAGCAACCCTGTGAAGGATTTTTGAGGCTGTAAATGTTTACAGGAGCTGAAAGTCTCATTGGTCTCCTGAGGAGTGGCTGGCGGGTTTGAGCTGCCCACTTCGT